TGCCCTGTAAACTTTCACTCAATCCACAATAAAAAAAACCTTAAAAAGTAAGAAAAATTTGAAAATTGTTTAAACCTGGAATCCCCATGTCCCTTCCTCTTCAATTCAAAAAACCGAGTTGCTCTAATTTAAAGTACTCCTTAGAAACTGGTTTTAAGAACTTGAAAGCCACATTGCTTTTAAGCAAAGAAAGTAATAGGTACTTGGAAGGACAGATAGATTCACCTATGGTTTAGTTTGACTCAAGCTATGTGTTTAACATGTATGTCCAGAAATATACTTTTTTGGGATCATTTTATTATTTGTGTGTGTGTGTGCGCAATAATTTATAATAATGCTTCTGCATGCTTTCAATTAAGCCCTTTTTTGTGAGTGTGACCTTCACTTAGATAACCAACTGAGATGGGAACTGACGCTACAGCTTTGTCCTTATCATCTTAGTTATCTAGAGCTGCTATATCAGAAATACCACAAGTGGATTCCTTTTGCCAACCAAAAGTTATTCCTTCTGTTTAGGAGGCTAGAAGTCTGAATTCAGCGCAATAGCTCAAAGGGGGGGATGAGCTCTGGGGGAAGGTCTGCTTCAACATCTGTGGGCCCTGCATTCCTTGGAAATCGGCATGTGTCTTGGCATCAGTCATCCCCTTTGTTTAGGTTTCAGCACAGGTCCAAAGGACGCACTGCTCCTGGCTCATCTTTTTTGGTGGTACTGAGGTGTCCCACTCTTGCTCACTTCTTTCTCCTTTTATCTCTTGTAGGCTAAAAGGCAATGCAGACCACACTCTAGGGAGACTCTCCTTACCAATCCCATCAGGCTCTGATCTGATTAAGGGTGTTACATTCCACCCTAATATCCTTACAAATGATGGGCTGATCACATAACGGGGATTACGTAACTGCCAACCCACTGAGAATCATGGCCCAGCCAAGTTTACACATAATTTTAGGGTGCACAATTCAATCCATGACATCATAAAGCCTAATTTGTATAATATGGTGAGTGATGGTATGCTTATAAAACCGACAAGGCTATGAAATAACAATGATTAATACAAGTGATCATGAAGAACTTTCCTGCCTAGTAAAAATTGAATTAAAAACAAGTTCCGACTCTTGTACTCAGTCAATGATGATCTGAGTATCACCCTGCTTTCAAGAACCTGGACTTTCAGGGTCGGTAGGCAAGTAAACAATGATGTTAGTTGCTGTAGTCAGTCCTGGCATAGCAACCTTATGTATGTCCTGTGCCATCTTCATAATTGCTGCTGTTCAAGTTCACCGTCATAGCTATTAATGTCAGTCTGCTGTCTGTTTTACCAACCATGATGCCCGTTTCTAGCAATTTGTCTTTCCTGATAATATATTTAAGCAAGTCAAAATCTTGCCATTCTTACCTACTCATGCTGTGTGTAAATAAGTATGGTGGTGGTTGTGTGCCACTGAATTGGCCTGACTCATAGGGGTCCTGTGTTGGGTTTCCGAGGCTACAAATCTTTAAGGGAACAGAAAGCCTCATCCTTCTGCGGGGAGCGGCTAGTAGATTTAACTGCTGACCTTGCCATTAACAGGCTAGCTCCTAATCCACTGCACTACCAGGGCTCCTTGTAAATATGTACTTTGTTAAATGCTGTCG